GGGGGGGGGTCTCCGTGCCGAAGGGCCTATCGCACAAGGTTGGCGCTGTTGGCAGCGACGCTAAACGGCAAGACAGTGGCAGTGCAGGTGACATACGGCAGAGAATCTCGAGCGATCAAATGTATTGTCAAAGTTCCATCCGTTCGAGAGCGGAGGCCAAAATTTTGATTGCTACGGAAGGCATCTATCTCGCCAAGTAGCTCACCTCGCCACAGCCCACGCTGCTGGCATCCCGCACGCTAGTCCCCTCGTGCCTCCGTGCTGAGCCGGAGCTCGCTCCCGCACCGTAAACTCGATTGTGCAACGCAAGATTCACCGCCCAGCCACTCGTTGCAATCCGCATCCACGCTCTTTCTCTCCGCAGTTCCATCCCCATCGCATCCGAATCGAGTGGGTATGAGAAACACCTCCTGCAGCCACACAGAGTGCCGCGCGCAAGACCAAAAGGTATCCCCCGCTCAACGCCGCACTCGTGTCTCCGACGTACCATCGCCACACCAACCATCCATGCGAAATACAAATGTCATCTTGCATACTATACACGAGCTGGGGTAGGTGGAAAAGAGGGGATATCATACAAAAAACGTCGTCGCAGTGGGAGGATTTCACACCTTGATGGTGGCCGCCGACCCGGACTGCTGCTTGGGCACGTCCGAGGCGTTGCTCCACTCGCGTTCGTGCTTGCCGCCCGCGTCCGGGTCGCCCTCGGTGCGCTGTCGCTGTCGCTGCACGTCGAATCCTGGTGCCATCCCCCCGCGCGGTACGTGCACCTGGGCTGGTGGCACAAATGCGCCCTGCGCTTGCGACATGGGTGGCCCCGAAGCGCCCGGATGCATGTACGCCGGATGAGGCATCATCTGCATGTGCTCCACCCCATGCGGCGGCGGCGGCGCCATAGGCATCATCGGCATCATCGGCAACGGAGCACCCCCCGTCGCCTGCACCAGCTGGCTCTTGAGAAACATGTTTTCGTTGCGAAGCGCCCCGACCGTATTCTGCAGATTCTCGTTGTCGTTCTGCAGATACTCCACCTTGGCCTGCAGCGAGGCCAGCCAGGCCTTTTTGCGCTGGCGACACTTGAGCGCCGCCTGACGGTTGCGCTCGAGAAAGTTTTTGCGCTTCTCGTCCTGCCCCTTTTCGCCGCCCTTGCCGTCGTCGTCGCTGTCCCAGTGCTCCTCGTCGTCGTCTTCGGGCGGTCCAAAGTCCTTGATGCTGGAAGACGAAGCGGCCTTCTTGCCACCCTTGGCCGTCTTGGCCGTCTTGGAGGGTGGCGCGCTGATCGAGGCGGATGAGGAGGACGATGCGGCGGCGGTGGGTGCGACGGAATCGTCGGTCGAGTTGGACTTTTTGCGCTTGTTGTTGGCCGGCTTGGCGTCCTCGCCTTTACCCTTTGCCCCCTTCTTTGAGGCTGCGGCGGCGGCGGGCTTGGACTCGTAGAGCGAGGTGGATGCGGCTGTTGCGCCGTCGCGCTTTGCCATCTCCTGGTGTGCGCGGCTGAGCAGGAAGAGACCCGAGGCGGCGTTCTGCTGATCACCGGGCACGGGATCGAGTGGCTTCTGCATCATCTGTGGGCTGATGCTCTGCGAGAGGCTGCGGTCCGAGTCGCTCGCCTTGACCTGCGCCTTGAGTTTGGAGCCGGCTTTGACCTCGGCGGCGGCGGCGGCGGCGGCTGCGCGGTCGTTGGGGAAGGAGCGGCTGAATGCGAGGTCAAAGGCGTTGTGGGCGTCGGAGGGCTTGCCTGCAAAGTTCTGCGGCTGGGTGGAGAGCGCTGCGCCGGGCGCGGTGGGCGCGCTGGGAGCGTTGGGGTCTATGGAGCCGGTGGCGGAGGCGGCTGCGTTGGTGAGCGCGTTGAGCGTGTTGGGAGTGATGGCCGCTGCCGAGGTGGAGGGTGCAGAGGTGTTGTTGACCATGGCAGCGAGGAAGGCGGCGGTGTTGGGGGAGGGTGGCGGGAAGGACATGCCGCCGCTGAGCGGGGTGAGTCCGGTCTTAAAGTTGGAGAGGTCTGGGGTGAATCCGGTGCGGAAGGAGTTGGGGTCAAAGTGGGAGCTCTGCGGACCTGCGAGCATGGCGGGCGAGAGCGGACCGGAGCGAAGCGAGCTGGTGAGGCCCGCCGACCAGGGATAGGGGTTGGACTCGCCAGCAGGCGAGGTGATGGAAGCGACGGGTGGAAGGAGCGGCTTGGGGGTGGAAGCCGAGTCGTTGTTGGTGGTGGAGGGCGAGGTCTGCGACTTGGAGAAGGTGCGATCGCGATAGGCAGCGCCTGGACGTGTGCTGAGGGGAGGGGTGCTGAGGCTGGATTTGGTGTCGCTCTTTAGGTCGGAGCGACGGTCGATGGATTCGGACGAGGTGGGGCCCGAGCTGAATGACTTTTCGAACGGGTTGGGTTCGAGATGGTGTTTCGCGGTGGAGCGTGCGGGCGATGCGTTGCGCAAGGGCTTTGCCGGGGGCCGTGTGGCGGTTGCTGCTTGTGAGATGGGCGAGAGGATGGTGAGCATGTGTGCGATATGAAGATGGTGGTGGTGGTGGTGGTGACGAGACTTACCTGTTTCTGACATGGCGACGGCCCAGAGAGGAAACGAGGGTCCAGAGTGAAAAGGGCGGTACGGATTGGTGGTGGTGATGACGAAGGTATGACGAGGGAGGAGGCGGCCGAGGGTGTTGGTGGTGATGCTGGCGGGTTGGCGAGGCTGGCTGCGGATGGCGGCGGCGGCGATGGTGGTGGAAACAATGCAGCTCTGCGCGCCGTCGTCGAGGTGCCCAATTTTCCAGGAGCATCGGCTCGATGCCTGGGCGAATCTGCCCTTTTGCTGCTTTTCTGCCCCGAATTACTGGATTCGACTGCGCGTTGCTGCGCCTTTGGCTGTGCTGTGCAGTGGGAAAAATCGCCCTTTTTCGACGCGGCGCGAGAAAAAGAAAGGGAGAAAAAGGAAGCTCTAATCTCCGCGAGGCCATGCACATCGACAACACACCACAGCAGCGGGCATACTCGTGCTCCACGGGAACGACAAGTCGGTGCTGGCCTCGACGGATCCCTTCACCTTGCTTGGGAAGCGGAAGGGGGGATTGTGTCGGGGTCCGGGATCGACGCTGCAGAGTCCGATTGGGTCCATCGCTATGGCTGTCTCGCTTGCGGCCATCCCCACACCGACTAGATGGATGGATGCATCCATCGCGATGGCGGCGGACCATCTCGCAGTGCCGGAGCGCATGGTCGTCCGAGGCGCACATGACGTAATCCATGACGCAATGTGCTGGCAACGCGCGTCCGTGCTGTTTTGTTGTCGGTGCGAGACGTAACATTGGTATTCGCGCGCGCTCGCGGTGTCAGGTTGCGCCGGAAGGGTCCTTTCTCCTCGCTCGCTCGCTCGCTCAAGGGTCCAAACCCTGCGTCAAGACAGAGACAGGCAGGCGGTCAGTCAGTTCGGTCGGATGCTCAGGACAGAAATCGCATTCGCATGCCAGAAGACGGGCGAGGTAGCGGCGCTAGGTGTGTTGTGCATGCGCTCGGTTGGCATGCAGTGTATCGGCCCGCTTGGTGCGCAGAGTGTGCGAGTCGAATGCCTCCTCCGGGTCGGTGTCGCTCTCGGCCTGCTCCTCGTCTTGGTCGTCGTCCGAATCCGCATGCGAGTCCGAGTCGGGCACAAGCTGCGGCGCGTACACCTTGACAAGTTCAAATCGTTCGTCCTCCTCGAGCGCCATGAGCGCATCCATGCTGGCATCCTCGCTGTAAGCGGCCTTGTCGGGGTGGACACCCAAAAAGCTGCAGATGGCGTCCGTCAACTGGCTGGGTCGCTTGACGCTCAGCAGGAACGGTGCGCGGGGGACCTTGTGGACGTGGACCGAGCGGGCATTCGGGAAGAGCGCGGCGATATCGTCGGCCACGTTGCGATCGTACGGCAAGTCGCGGTCGCCTTCGACTACGAGAAGATCGCAGCGGACGGTGCACCGGGCCGCCTCGGGCATTGGCTTGCGCAGCCAGTACAGATCGAACCACCAGTCCCGCGCGGCTTCGAGACCTTGGTGGTGCAGTACAAGTCGTTCGAGCCACGTTCGCGAGAGGTACGAGGCAATGTGCGCCGGGATCGTCTCGCTGCCCGCCCAGCGGAAGGTGAAGCCCTGGACCACCTCGCCTGGCAGCCTGACGTCGTTGGAGCGCTGCGAGTGTTGCTGGTGCCACGATTCGGTGAGGAGCTCCTTGATGCCTTGGAAGGATTCCACCATGAACGGAGACTCGAGCTCGAGAATGGGAGACGTGATCATGATCGACGTAAAGGTGTCGGGCCACTGGGCTGCCATGCGAGCCGCGACGAGGCCGGACATGGAGCAGGCGAGGATGTGGATGCCCTTGGCCCAGCGGATCTCTCCCTGCTTGCCGTTGGCGGGCTGGTAGGGTGAGAGGAGGAGGCGGATGAAGGCGAGCACGTCGGCGGCCTTGATGTCCAGATCATACTTGCGCGTGGTTGGATCGCGGATGGGCACCTCGCGCGTGAGGCCGTGGCCGCGCGGGTCCACGGCGACGAGGTTAAAGTGCGCCGACAGCGTCGAGTCGCTCAGCTGGTCGGCGAAGAGGTGCGCCACGCTAAAGCACTCCGACGGCAGAAACAGCACAATCGGATAGCGAGCATCGAGCTTGACCTCGCGCCTCGCCTCCGAAGCTGCCAGATTGGATGACGAGCTGAGCGACGCGGCGAGTTTCGAGGCGTGCGTCTGCGCAGCAGCAAAGGTGCGGCACTCGGGCGTCGAGACGAGGTAGTGCAGCACGATCGGATCGTCCGCATACCGCAGCTGCGAATCGTCGCTCGGCAGCGCAAGGAACGGCATCTCCGACACTCGCTCGCGTCACAAAATCGTGGTTGGGGGGTGGGGAACGTGACGTTGCAAAACGAGGCGAGCAGAGAACAGCGCAGGGCTATATATCGGCCTTGCTGCTCACCCTCTCGCCACTGCAACCAAGCCAAAGCAAAGCAGAGCAGAGCAGAGCGAGCAAGCACATGCGTTGTTGTCACTCGCAACGCCCGGTGGCTGCAGTGTGGAATTGGTGGCTTGGGAAGCGTGTGATTTTTGGCGCCTTGCCTGGTGGCTTGCAGTTGTCGACGTCTTCTTTTTGGGCGGAAATCCCGTGTCGGATGCTGCCGTCCCGTCCGCACTCGCTCCCACGCACCGGCACACCCGCACACGCCATCTCCAATCGCAATCGCAATCGCAATCGCAATCG